AATAGTAATAATGATGATGGTAATAATAATAGTAGTAGTAGTAGTAGTAGTAGTAGTAGTAATAAGAGCTGCTGCCTTTCTTCTAGGTATGTCTTGTTTGTAAAGCCCTTAAACTCATAAAAGGGGGGCACTGTTGTAGGAAAAAGGCCTTTATAAATAAGAAACATTCTCTGAGAATATTATGCAAGTCACAGGCATGCAGCAATGTACTTTGTGTTATGTTTTGTTCCTGTTTATAGTCCATTTCTTACCTGAAGTTGTTCTTTTCAGGCACTAAATTTATAGCGAGAGTTATAGACAACACTCTGTATGCCAGCTCAAGCTGTAATAATAAATATCTAAAGAAATAGTCTAGTGTAGCATTTTATTGTTAACCATGTTTTAATCTTACTGTCATCAAGATTTATTAGTATTATCAAGCTACTGCACAGTAGCATCACATAAAAGATGTTCACCGGTGCTACTGTGCATTTATTTCGTACAGGCAGTCCTCGGACTTTTAACATGATTGGTTCCTGACAACCGCATCTTAATTCCAAACATCATAACTCAGAACCAATTTTCCTATAGGAACAATGTTATAAATGGGGGACTGGTCTCTGAACCAAGGCCCAATACCCTATTTTCACCAAAAATATCCCAGAAGTTTGTACTCAATCAATTATAAATGAGTAATATAGCTACATTAATGTATATTGTAAATAGCAATCATGTTGATTTGGAAGGACTTCTTTGAAGTGACTTTGCTGGACTTTTTGAAGGGTTCTTCGCTAGAGTCATCTCAGGAGTCTTGGCTGTAGGTTTTTCTGGAGTCTTATCTGCTTTTTTAAAGAAAGTGTCCAAGGAAGTTTGGACAGATGTATTTCAGGGAGATGGGTGATGCAGCCAACTTGTTCACTGGTGTGGTATGGCATTGGATCAAGCGTCGTAAAATTGAAGCTAAAAGTTGAAACAGGGTAACAATTTATAAATGTCATAAGTGCCGTTTGTTGTAACTTGAAACGTCTTTAGTCGAGGACTGCCTATACTTCCTAGTACAAGTGCTAAATAAATGCATGGTAACAACTGCGCAGTAGCATCTCATCTCATGTAGATGTACCTACAGGTGCCTTCAGAGACTATATAAACTTCAGTATGAAGAGGCTAGGACCCCGTCTACACTTTACACGTATCACACAGTTAACTGATTAATTGCTTAATTATATTGAGATCAGCTACATATGCAAAGTAGCTGTCACACAATAAAAAGTTTCAACCAGCTATAAAATTAGACTTCAAAAATGTGTATAGACTTTATAGCTAGTTGCTATTGAGCTTTAATTTGCATGTGTAGCAGGATCTCCCCTGCGGCTGGAAGCCCTCGCAGCTGACAGGGCTCCCAGCCACAGGGGTGTACTATGCCTAGCGTGAAATGCCCACGCCCTGGGGATCACAGCTGTTGTGATCCCCAACGCTCAGGGGTGTGTGAAAGCCCCAGGTCCATGTGGTGCTCTTGGTTCCAGCTGCAGGTGAGTCACAGCTGGGACTGAGAGTCCTGCACCTGAGAGGGCTCTGGGTCCCAGCTGTGCCTCACACCCTGTCAGCTGCAGGGTCCCTGGGTTCTGGCTACACATGGCCCCCACAGCCAAAAAAAGCCGATATCTGATAATGTAAATTTTCCTTGTATTGGTTCTGATCCGATATGGCACCAACATATCAGTGCATCTCTACAGGAAATTCTTGATAATAAGATCTATCAAATTGGAGAGTCCCTGAATGTTTTCATTCTAGCTTCGCCACCAGCTATATCTGGACTTGGTTTGCCCAGCTGGCTAGTATTTTGCCTCTGCTTCTCAGTTTCTGCATATGGCAGGAATATTCACATCTGTAGAAAGTTGCATGATTGACTTTGAAGGGTAATGTCCAAAAAGTAAATTCCACTTCATATCATTCGTTGAAATATAGTGTGTGAAAACTTTCTTGCCAGTGAATTTATTCATATATTCTTTGCCTTTCCCAGTCCCTTGTCCTAATGAAAAGCACTTGAACTGGTGGGTTGCAGGAAGTAGTACTTAACAGTACAAAGTTGACTATCATTGCACAGGCATCCTGCAAATTACCTATCTTTGGCTTATACAGTACTTTTATAGCTTTAAGGTTTTGTAGGGACTAATCAGCCACTGTCAGCATTGGACAGCTCTTTCATCCCTGCCCCCTTGCCTCCTTCAGAGTAGGAAAGCCCTTTCTGTGAAAGGTAATTTGTACCAGGACAATCTGGATCTCTGATTTGGTTGTCAGACAAGGGCATAGGGTTGTCTCAATTTATTTCATCTCCATGTATAATACTTAGCCAGGACTATTTTTTTTCCTAAAGTGCAGTATGGGGCACAACTACCTGAACAGAGAAATGAAGCAAAGAGGCAGGCTAGAAAAGGGCAAATCATCCACTTCCCTGCAAAAGTTAACCTAACAGCAGAGGAAGCTAACGCTGGAAGACAGGTTTGTTTTTATTTATGAGATGTGCTAGACAGTCACTGCAATCAGCTTTTTTAACGTGTGTTAACAGCTGTCTTGGCAAGCAGTAATAACATTTCACTCATCTGGGTTAGGAGTCTTACTGTCCCAGGATTTTAGACATTGGTAGGGACCTAGTCAAATTGAAATTCCGCAATTTTCACAGAAACTGCAAAAAACAGCACTTTCCACAATTCTGTGCAGAATCACTGGGGGGAAAAAAAGAAACTTGCTAAAAAGAAAGCACTGGCTCCCCAGTGAGAGCCAGCTGCCACTGCAGCCTGGCCTTGTAGCCTTTGGGGGTGGGGGGGCACTGACACAAAGGGGAGCAGCCAAGATGGCAGCTGCCTCATCCTCCCTCTACCACTGATTGGCCGAGAGGGCTGCCTTTTGTGCAGCCCCACCCCCACTACCATTCAATGGCAAGAGGTGGGGCCACATGAAGGACAGCCCTCTGCCAACCAGCAGCAAGAGGCAGGGCTGCTGGGGCCTCTTAGCCAATCAGTGGGCAGGGAGGCTTGCCTCAATAAGGCCACAAAAATGGCAGCCAGTACCATTGCCCATCAGCCAGTACCATTGCCTGTGAAATTGCCCGTCTGCCATTTTGATTTTGGTAGGTCCCTAACTATAGGACTTGCTTAGTTTATCTTATTTGCCTTTCCTGGGAACTCCAATATGGCTGAGAGCCGGCCACCATAATTATTCATAGAATCATAGAAAGTTAAGACTGGAAGGGACCTCAGGAAGTTGTCTTGTCCAACCCCCTGCTCAAAGCAGGACCATCCCCAGCTAGATCATCCCAGCCAAGGTTTCATTTAGCCGGGTTTTGAAAACCCCCAAGGATGGAGCATCCACCCCTTCTCTGAGTAACTTGTTCCAGTGTTTTACTACCTTCCTAGTAAGAAAATTCTTCCTCGTATCTAACCTAAACTTCCCTTGCTGCAACTAAGGAGCAATGGTCTCAATTCTGTTATCTGCCCCTGCTGAGAACGGTCCAGCTCCATCCTCTTTTGAGCCCCCCTTCAGGTAGTTGAGGGATGCTATTAAGTCTCCTCTCAGTCTCCTCTTCTCTAGACTAAATAAGCCCAGTTCCCCCAGTCTTTCCTCAGAAGTCATGTCCTCCAGCCACCTCTCCATCTTGTCGCCCTCTGCTGTATTCTCTCCAATTTGTCCACATCTTTTTTGTAGCGGGGGGCCCAAAACTGGACACTGTACTCCAAATTGGGCCTCACCGGTGCCGAATAGAGGGGAATAATTGCTTCCCTTGACCTGCTGGCAACACGCCTACCAATGCAGCTCTGCATGCCGTTAGCCTTCTATTCATTCTTTTCTTGAAAAAGGCAATGTCGGGGAGGTCCATGGCATTAGAGGAGTTGCATTTTACAGATTATCTGATGGCACCCATGACAAGCATGGTTCCTCTGTAAGTTTCTCTGTTTGACTTGCTCAAGGTCATACAGGATGTCAGTGCCAGGACAGGGACTTGAATCTGAGTCTCCAGATTCCAAGTTAGTACCTTGACTATTAGGCCAGACTATTTTCCCTGCATAGCCAAAAAGAAATAGGGTGTGGAATTTGCATGTGATCAAGCAAGTGAATGGAGGGTAGAAGCCTAGAAACTGTCCTGCCACCAAGGAATAAAAATACACTCATAGTTTGTTTTAGCATTTTATTTTGCAGAGACTTAGCAGAAGCCTGGCCTCTGATTTGATACTAACAAACTGATTACTGACTGTGAATGTGCTCTTGAGTTTGAAATGTTTGCAGTCTTTCCATCTCTCCAAACTCTGGAGATGTGGCAATAAAAATCCTAGTATCTTTGTATACTGGGATAGTGTATCCTGGTGTATCCTTGTTTTTTAATATAAAATACTCCAAGGAATGCATAGCTCTTTCCATATGTCTTTCCAAAATTCCTTTAAAATTTCAGCAGATAAGTAAATATTTGAAGCATTGTCTTAGAACTATTCATATACTTAGTGGTAAGCCCATGTGTAAATGTTGGGAAGAGCACAGCCCTACTGAGATTAAATTAGTTCCTTCACACAGGTGATCCATAACCAATATTATCAAGTTCCTGACAGTCAACTACCTAAAAGCTCTTCTAGCCAGTTTGCAAGGGAATTATTATTTTTATGCCCAGCTGTGCAGAAGTGGTAAGCAATTGCATAAGTATCTAGTTAAAATAAAATAAAATGTTTATACTGGCAGTGTTTTAATGTACCTTGTTTCTTGCAAAGATGCAGTGCCTTAATTACTGTGGTTTTTTGGCTGTGCTTTTTGCCATTGCTTTCTTTGTCCATTGGAATGGGCTATTTGTTAGAAATTCAGACTTCAAACTGCTAGTAAAAAAATATAATAGCAAGTATTATGTGAAAAATGAGAACCACTGAACTCCTCTCATTTATGACACTTTGGACTGTTGTTTACTTGAGGTCTTGGGGTATCACCACTTCCTTGAAGTTTATGAACAATAAAATAATTTTTTGTGTTTGCTTCTTTTATAGGACAAGAAAGCTTATTTGGACATCATTCACACCTACATGGAAGTCCATGGAACTGTGCATGGAATGAGCACGGTTCATATGCCAAGCTATGTGAAAAATCATGGCATCCTTAGTGGACGGGATTTGCAGTTTCTGCTGAGAGAAACTAAAGTAAGTTTATTGGCAAGAGGGACAAATGGCTAAAACCACGAGAACATGATGATATCTGACTGAAATACTATGTTGTTGCTAGCTACCACCTGCATTAAAGGAATTGAATAATACTGGGCCAAATAAAGTACTCCTTAATCTGCTTTTTTAATATGGACAGGTACTCATTTTAAGAAAAGAAAAAAAAAGCCCTAAGCCCATATACTATAGATTGGTAGCTGCTGTTAGGAAATTCAGCCCATACCATCCAGTTTAGGAGAGACATTTTAAAACCAGTTTCACAACACAGGTGCATGCAGTTTTTCTTTTTTGTAAATGTTGTCATGGTCAAAGCAAAGTGAATATCAGCTGAGAATTTACTGTATTTACCCAAATCCAAGACAATGTTGAATATAAAATAACTCCCCAATAATAAGATTCGACACAGAAAAATTTATAAATGTGTTATAGGGAAAAGTATATAGAATCTCATTATTGGAGGGTCATCTTAAATTCACAACCCATTTCCCCTTCCACCCCATTGCTGTGATGGGGCAGGCATTGGCAGGGGAACAGGTGAGGGGGGCGACGAGCAGTGGAGGGGAGTAAAGCAGCTAGACCTAAACCTTGCACCGTGCTGCCTGTCCCCCTCACTGCTTGTCTCTCCTGCTGCCTCCCCCACTCCAGGTCTGTGCCCCACTCCTCAGCGCCTGCCTCCACCGCAGTGCCTGTGCCCTCTGGCCCTCTCACCTCTTGCTCTTCCCTTTACCTGCCCCTCTCCTGAGATGCCTTTGCCCTCCCTCCAACTCCTCCCTGCCCCCCAGTTCCTGTCCTTCTTCCTCCTACTTGCCCCTCACCCCTCCTTAACCTCTCCGTCCCTCCCCCATGCTTTATCTTACCCTGAATCATAGCTCCGGGTCCAGGTCCAGCTCCGGGTTCAGCTCTAGCCCAGGGCATGAAGCTTATGTTTCTTCTGCACCCTTCCCCTCCTCCCTGGCATGGCAGCAGTGTTTGAAGTAGTGGCAGCCCCAGAGTTGGGGCCAGAGCTACCACCACTGCTGCTTCCATGGCTATGTGAGGGCTGCCAGAGCTGAAGCCAGATCCAGGACTTAGAGTAAATGGCAGTAAAGGGAAGGAGGGGGCCAGAAGCCATGTGGAGTAGAGAGTCTGGGGGGGCAGTCAGGGCAGCGGCTGCAGCTCTGACTGAGCCCAGGTGCCACAGCAGCTGCCTTACCTCCCCCCCACAGCCATACTCAAATCCAAGGTAAGGGGCTTTTCTCCCCATGTTGAATAAAGAAAAAAGCCTCATATTGGATTCAAGTAAATGTGAGCATTCATTTTTAAAAGGTACGTGCTGTCTGACAGCAGTCTTACCCTACCCTGCCACTGACTCCAGCCCGCAGTGATCTTCCCTCTCTCTTGGGATGAAAAGCACTTCATTCTCCATGCAGTTCCTTCCTCAGCCTCACTTACTGGGAAGGGAGAAAGGCTGCTCACTCTGCTGCTCTTTTTCAGTGCATTTTGCCTGTGGGCCAGGGTTTTGTATTTGAACTAAAGTTAAGATGAAGGACAGCATCTGAGTTTAAATATGCAAACTTTTGTCTTGGAAGCCAGATGTAGTGCAATGTAATAAACAATTCCAGAGAAGAAAAGACGTGTTGAACTCCAGCACTTCATGGATTGGGTCCTGGTGAAACGTTTAACTTGAATTAGTTGGCTTGTGAAACAAATGTTTTGTTTCATTCTGCAAGACGGAACATGTGGAGCGTTTCCACTTGCTCCTCCGGCCGTTGACAGCTTCTCACTGTGCATTATTACAATGCAATCCATTAGAAAGCAAGTGCCGTTGACCCAGGCCTATCCAGTCAGTGCAGAGTGCCATTATTTTCCAGCATTCTTTGAATAGAAAAATTTCCATCTCTGGTCTGCTAGTGTTTGCAAATTATGACTTTTAATGACAATCACTGTGTATGTGTACTTCATCCATATAGACACAATATTGCCATTTACACAAATCAACATTTAGTAGCAGTTGCCACAGAGACGTATTTGAGATTTGCCTCAGCTTTTCCCTGTACTTGGAATATGAAACCAGTGTATTAATCATGGGCACCACAATGCGTAAATACTGGCATTTTAATGATTACCCTTGAGCACAAAACAGTGCCTTCCTTTCCAATGACATTTGTTCACTCACTGGAAAAATGAAATGGGCAGGTGAACACGCTATATGTACAGCATCCAAGATGCTTGTTTTCATTTCCATAGCAGATAACCGATTGTAATGTCAACAGCATTTGAACACCAGTTTTCATCTTTAATGATATTTTATCAGAATTTTTCTTGGGCTTCTCAACTTGCATCTCACTAAGAATTTTAGTTTTCTTTATTGAACATAATGTATATAGTTATAATCAAGTGGCCAGATAGTGCCTGCTTAATACCATCCACATAAAGGTTGGAATTTTGCTTTCTTTTTGTATGGCTTAGCTCCTGATATTTTGATCCCTATTATACGATCAAATAGAAGTGAATGCAAGGCACGGTGGTTTGCAAAGCACTCATGAGCTCTGTCTTGATGAGAAGTACAATATAAAATGTCACCATCTTCTCACAAAGTCCCTGTCTTAAAAATGATGGATCCCTGCAGTGCAGTTTGTAAAATCCTGCAAAGATTTGTGACATTTGGAAAGGTTTTGCATGTTATTGCTCCACTTTGATGCTCCTTTTACACTGTTATGAATTTCTGTCATCTGGAGAGCTCACTTTACTAATCAGCTGATGGCATTGTGGTGCTCAGCATCTTGGTGTTCTTGAAACTGATATTAAGAAACTTACAACTGCATTTGATAATCTTTTCAGGTATAGATTTTCTCTTTTTTTTTTTTTTTTTTAATGGGATCTTGTCATGGTAGAGCTCTCGGATATATTAGTCATTCTGTTTTTCATATGGTTTTCCATATTTCTTTTGGTATATTTGATAATTGCAAAAGTTGTTTTCCTTTAAATAAAGGGTGCTGTTTTTTACACAACCTAAAAAAGCAAACCTGAAAGCAAGCAGCAAAGCCTTCAGATTAGGTAATTTAAATTTTAGGATCTTGTTTTGTCTGATTTTCAAATAAATCAAAGGGAAGTATCCAGATGTAGTGGCCAAATGAAATGTCATGATTATTCTTTTATTTGTTATTCATAAAATCATAAAAAATTAGGGTTAGAAGGGACCTCAAGAGGTCATCTAGTCCAACCCTCTACTCAAAGCAGGATCATCCCAGCCAAGGCTTTGTCTAGCTGGGTCTTAAAAACCTCCAAGGGTGGAGATCCCACCACCTCTCTGGGTAACCTTCTCTAGTGCTTTACTACTCTCTTCATGAGAGAGTTTTTCCTAATATCTAATCTAAACTGCCCTTGCTGCAGCTTGAGACCATTGCTCCATGTTCTGTTATCTGCCTCCACCGAGAACAGTCCAGCTCCATTCTCTTTTGAACCACCCTTCAGGTAGCTGAAGGCTGCTATTAAATCCCCCCTCGGTCTTCTCTTCTGCAGACTAGTTCCTTCAGTGCCTCCTCATAAATCAAATGCCCCAGCACCATAGCCATTTTTCTTGCCCTCTGCTGCACTCTCTCTAATTTGTCTAGATCCTTTCTGTAGTGGAGGCCCAAAACTGGAATCCAGTACTCCTGATATAGCCTCAACAGTGCCAAACAGAGGGGAATAATCACTTCCTTCAGTCTGCTGGTAACCTTTTCTTCTAATACAGCCCAGGATGCTATTAGCTTTCTTCACAACAAGGGCATGCTATTGGCGTATATTCAGCTTATTGTCTACTGTCACCCCCAGATCTTTTTCTGAGGAGCTGCTGCTTAGGCAGTCAATCCCCAGCCTGTACCGGTGCATGGGATCCTAAGTGCAGGAATTTGCACTTCTCCTTATTGAACCTCATGGGATTTCTTTTGGTCCAATCCTCCAATTTGCTGAGGTCTCTCTGAATCATAGCCCTACCTTCCAGCGTATCTACTACTCCCCCCAGCTTGGTGTCATGTGCAGACTTGCTGAGGGCACAACCCCATCCCATCTTCCAGGTTGTTGATGAAGATATTGGTCAAAACCAGCCCCCGGACTAACCCTTGGGACACTCCACTTGATACCAGCTGCCAACTAGACATCAAGCCACTGGTTACCAGGGATCCTGATTTTCTCTGTTAAAAAATTCAAAATTCTACAATAAAAAATCTTAAATTCTCTGATTTAAAGCCCCCAAAACTTGTGGTTTTCCACAATTAAAATGAAATGCTGCTATATAGAGAGGTATCTGTTGAACCCAATGTTTTATTGATTTATTTACAGTTTTAAAGCAATTTGGAAGTCTACCAGTGCCTCAACCATTATTTTTGGCTGTGTAGGAAGGAAAGCAGAAAGAGCTGCTGCCTTGGAGATGTAAGGGCCAGGGGTGGGGAGGCAGAGGACAATGAGGACGACTACTAAAGTAGGATAAATAAGACCATCTAGTCCCACAGAGAGTGCAGGGAGGCTGAGCTGCATTCAGCTGCTTTATGAGTAGTGCATAGCTGTCCTTGGTCTTTCCTATAGCATCACATTGACCTGCAGAAGGTATAAAGCACATCCTGTCTGGGGTACTGACTTCTCCCTCACGCCAGGCTTCCTCCTGATTCAATTAAATCAATAGAAGTCTGTCTGATGACTTCGCCGAGGGCAGGATCAGGCCCTCAGAGGCATTGGGGTCTAGGAGAGGTGGGAGGCATGGATTCCAGCCCTGTGGCATCCTCCTGATGAAGGCTAGATGGCCAGCAAAGGTGGTTTAAGCCAGTAGGGCAGGCCTGTGCCAGGGGAGCCCTCTGTGCCAGAGACCCATGGCCAAGAGCCTCCCAGGGAGGTTCTTAATGTGCTCCAGGCTCCTCACAGCCACCGCCTGCAGCTCAGGCCACACAGCCCCCAACTGCCTAGGCTAAAGTCCTGCATTAAGTCAGGTACCTGTGGGTGACCCACAAAGTGAGTCGGTTTTG